TTCGGAATGAAGCGATTTTGTATCTATCCAATGAATAACGAAGTCATTTCATGCATGAAAAATCCAAATAAGATAAGTAATGCGGGCTGCGCATCTAAAGAACGCGGGTTATTTTCACCCTAAATGAGCTATACGCTAGATGATCAACAATTCATCAAATCCATGCATCTAGCTTGGCGTAATTCACGTGACTGATTTGACATTGCATGAGGCTTTACAAAGTTATATAAATCTTATAAATCCAGATTTCAAAAAAAAAAAAAAAAGGATACTGGAAAAAAAAACGTATGGCGAGTCTCGAAATTGATCTGGAGAGTGTTCGGCAAGATTACCGAGCGTCACTACAAGATTTGACGTTTAACTCAAAGCCAATAATAACAAACCTAACTATCATTGCTCAAGAGAACTTACCGGCTGCAAGGGCAATTGTACAAGCCATTGAAGACCAAATCAGAACTGTGAGTTTTTTTTTCTCTTTAGAATATCAAAGCAAATTGGATCAAAGACCTTATTATGTATACCAGCTACTTTCTAGTTAATAAATAGTAGCTAGGAATGCTCTGACACTGTTTTCGATTTTTGCATGATTTATTTTAAACTTAATTTCTTTTATATTTTTAACACGTAAAGTGTCCGCCACCACACAAGCTACCCGTGTTATATCTCCTTGATTCTATTAGCAAAAATGTTGGTGGTATATATATCCAATTGTTCGCCCGAAACCTTTGCAACACTTTTATGGATACGTATGATGTCGTAGATCAACCAACAAAACAAAAACTTGAGCGAGTTTTGGCCACATGGAAAAGTGGTCCAACAGGTGCGCCAGTGTATTCAACTGAAGTAACTGGTCAAATTGAAAGAGCTTTATTGAAGCAGCAGTTGAGATTGCAATCACGCGGATCAATAGATGTCGGAAGACATATTCATATTAATCCTAATTTCTTAAGTGGGGCTATCGTAAGAGTTATCTTCGATTATTTCTCACATTTCTAATGGCAGAACATATCAAAACTATGCGATCCTTTT